GTTAAATATTTAGTTTATAAACTATGACATTTATAAATGTATGAATCATTTGGTGAAAAACTGACTTTGAAAAAGGAATCTGTTCTTTTTTTCTTATAAAAGGCTAAATAAAACAAAAATATTGGTGGTAGTTTTTGACTGTGTAACTTTTCAAACGGCACCCCATACTGCACTACCGGCTGGACCGCAGCAGCAGTTCCTTATATCAAAAAAGACCCACAGGGCACTTTTTAAATCAATAGGGACCAGTCAGCCTTTAGCTAATTGAAACTGCTGCTCTGCTCCCACAGAAGCAGGGATGACTCTGTGGATGGATGTTGTGCACAATAAAAAATAATTTAGATAGCTATCTGTTTGATTTATTAACAACATTTGTTTGTGTTTATAAGGGTCCACCTGGATTACCTGGAATAAAAGGGCCTAAAGGAGAAAAAGTAAGCGGTTGATCTCATCCATTAGAATTGAATTTTCTTACCTGCTTTAGCTGATTTATTTGACTTGTTGCACATGACTGAGAAATGCATTTGGGAAGTACATTAAGTGACTGCTGTCCTTGTTGTTCCTCCTCTGCATCTCGTTGTTGTCAGGGAGAAATCGGAAGACCTGGGCAAAAGGTGAGAGTCTCCATTAATCACTCCATATTCTCCGCTGCCAAAAGTGGATTTTCTCAAAAATTAGATACAAAGTACCCACCTGCCTGCTGGCTGAAATTTAGAGGCCTGCCAGGGGGTGTGCATCAAGAAATGGTGTGCAACCTTGACAAGGAGACAGAACAGACACACAGGCAGACTGCTGGGATGCTGGGGTGGCCTGTTTTGTTTTTTTTTATGACAAAGGGACTCACTGTGGGTTTTCTCTGTCCCCAAATCTAAAACAGTTTGGACATTGTGTAAAATGTAAATACAAACTGAATGCAATGATTTGCAAATATTATAACACCAAATTTTACTTATAATGGAATATAGCAAACATATTAAATGTTAAATGAAGAAAGACTAAAATAAGGTGATTTTGAATTTCATGGCAGAAAAGTAGGAAAAGGGGCAACAAAGGCTGTGAAAGTAAATGGTGAGAATAAAAAACAGCTGCAGAAGCATTTTGCAACTAATTAGTTTAATTGGCAACAAATCAGCAAGAGGACAGGATTTAAAATAAGCATTTTGGAGAGAGTGAAACTCTTAGAAGATGGGCTAAACCTGCATATAAATTCAGTGGCTCAATTTCAAAATAATGGTCTTCAATAGAAAATTGGGAAAACTTTGAGTACTCCATAATCTACAGTTCATAATGTAATCTGAAAAGTCAATAAAACTGGATAAAATCTGTGAGCGCAAAGGCCAAGGATGAAAATCAGTATGTGGATGTGAACTCCGCTGACACTGCATTAAAAACCAATCTGATTCTGTTCTGCGCACAAACCTTTGTCGTGCCGTCCACAAATGCAGATTAAAGCTCTATCATGTAAGAAGAAGTCATAGGTGAACATCAATTAGCAAACTGTTCTGTGGTCAAAAAAATAAAAAACATCTTAACCACAAACATAATTTCCTCTGTACTAAAGAGGAGAGGGAATATCTACAGTGGTTTGCAAAAGTATTCATACCCCTTGAACTTTTCCATATTTTGTCACATTACAACCACAAACATAAATATATTTCACTGGAA